CTATATAAATTAATTAATTATAATATTAAATAAGAGTTTTACAATTTAAAATTAAAATTTAAATATAAAATATAAAACATTTTACCTGATTCTTCTAAATCAGAATAATAAATCTTCTGATTTCTTGATTTTTCTAAATTATTATAATATTATATTATATTATATATATTATTTCATGATATAATATTAAAAATAAATATAGAAATTACTTTTTTTTGAAACATTGATGATGCCAGCTTTGATAGTGGCAGCTTTGGTAAAGGTAACTTTAGTTAAGACAACTTCATTAGCGACAACTTTGAGGGTAGCAGCAACTTTCTTTTGCAGCAACTTTAGGGTAGCAGCAACATTGGTGATGGTAGTAGAGGTGAAGGCAGCAGCAACTTTGGGATAGTAGCAACAACAACTTTAGGGTAGCAGCAACTATATTAGCAACAACTTTGAGGCAGTAGCAATATTGGTGGTAGTGTCACAGGCATGCCATATAGTTTTGAGCTTATCATAATAAGATGGAACTTTTTCAAAGATATTGGAAGTTTCGATTATTGAATTCAGCAAATCTTCTTGAGTAGTGCATTCTTTAGCCGAGTCTTCCTTCTGGATCATACTTGGACGTTTATTTAGTAGTGAATGATCACCTTTCATATCAGCTAGCTGTCTTGTAACATTCTCTCGTACAAGATTTTCTTGGTTATCTCATTGAAGAGTAGAATGCACAGTTGTAGTAGTAAGCTCCTCCTGTAAAAAAAAAGAGCGGAAAATATAAGAGTAGTGAGCATTTCCATTATATTATATATATACCTTGTTATATTGAAAAGCCAAATACATATCATACCACTAATGCTGAGCGTTCAGACAAAGCCTCAATTTTCCACTTTTGTGCTGAAATAGCGTTCGTCCAGAAATCGTCAATTAATTCCAATTTCTTTTCTTGCTATTAATGATAAAATGAATCAATGATTAGTATTATTCTTTTTATTATTTATTATTTGACGTATTCTTCGATATTTTTATTTAATTGTTGATTATATTAAAATTTTTATTAGTTTCAATTCTATTTTAATATATTCTAGTTGCAAGAACGAAACCACCTGAGACGAGACTCATGCATTTCTGAGCGAGATCAAGAGTGTTAGGTGATTAAATGCAAGACGTGACCCTATCCAAAGAACTATTTCTCTTCAGACCCGTTCACTTTCAACTAAGAAAAGCACTTTTTAGTGAAATGAAACCACCCGAGGTGAGACTCATACACTCCCGAACGAAATCAAGGGTGTTGGGCAGAACTAAACCAACCATACATGCACTTTAGCAGGACAGAATTACTCGAGATGGGACTCATGCACTCTTGAGCGAGATCAGTAATGTTAGTAGTTGAATACAGGACATGACCCCATCCAAAAATGTTATTATTCTTTAGACCTGTCTACTACCATTATTTTCGAATATACTATATTCGTCCATTATTAAAACAATAAGAAAGAAAAATATTTAACTTGTACTGCATTAAGTGTCACGTAAGCTAGATCATATGTAGTCTCAGATAGATCTTCAATTTCAATAATGGCTGAGAGGTTGCGAATATATCGTTTATATTCAACACATTTATTAGCTGTAAAATCATCGCATTGTTGTTGGTATAATAAGAAACTTAATAATGACCAGTCACAGTCAAGGGTGAAGTAGGTAGGATCGTATAGTAGGATTTCTATTGAGAAAGAAAAATTCTATAAATGCCGAGAAAGGCAGAAATCCTAGAGAGTATAGAGAATATAAGCTTACCCTTCATTATGTCAAATGTTTCTTCTGTTATGATAAATTTTTTTCAACTTGACTTACAAAGTTGCTTCAAAACAGAACGTGAAGCTTATATCAAACGCGTATTATGCATAGTCATCACACAGTGATCTCAACAGATTGCTTTTTTTAGTTTTTAATTGATATGATTGGCTGGGAACAAACGGGCTATTGATAGCTTTGTGTAACATCATTAGGATTACTTTTGCTTTCTGATGACTTGAGGGCAAAATCTTATTTATTATTTTTAGATATAAAGCTAATCAGAAAATGATATAGGTAGCAAGAGAAATGTATGATGCTATCAAAGAGGGAGGGAGTACGCGGATCCTAGGCTATTTTTCTACACTAGAATTCTGAAATAAATTACACCACTTATATCTACAGAATTTTTGTCTATCTATATCACTTCCATTCACACAAACTATGTAATAGATTATTTTCCACAAAAGAATTTCCCGAGATGAAATGATTTTGAATCTATGTATAAATTAGTGAGGTTAACTACCGAGGTAATAAAATAAGCAATGAAAAGTGCCTTTCGCCTGATTCACACTTACCGGTATACTTAATTTTCACAATATTCCATTTCGCAAGGAATTGATTACCTAATTTTTTCTGCATTATCGCTAGAAGAATTCGTTTGATATACTGTGCCAGACTTTTGCTGTGCCATTGCATGTGCCATTGCATATGACAAGATTCATGTCTTAGCAAAGATCAAAATAGCCGATACTAAAAAAAAGTAATGTGTCCGTTTTATTTTGGAACATCTATAGAAGCAGAAATCAATTAAATCGTGATGATATATTTCAAGAAGCTAGCTGAGCAATAAATCAACATACCTTATTATTACATCAGTAAATTTAATAGGACGTAATATTGCTTAAACTTACATTCCGTAATATTACGAAAACTTACGAGGCCGCCGTAAGATTACGT